TTTGAATCTCCTGCAACCTCTTCGAAGCTGGAACATCTCCTCAGACAATGGACGCTACCCAAAACTGCTATAAAGGTCGATTTGTCAAGACCTTGGAGAGTTTATGATGCCTCCTTATGGCAGTTTGCGTCTAATGATTGAATTGCTCGCACCAACGGGACGCTACCTAGAATGAGAGAGATATTGCATACAACAGAACGCCGGGGCCAATGATTGCAAGTCGTAGACTAAGATTAAAAGCAAAACACAGGGACCACCTATTAGAATTTATCGTACAGTATGACTCGAGACTGTACGTATGGTACAGATTCTCGTCAGTTACCTTGGAAGGGCTAGTACGAATTGGATCGATCAGTCGCTGCGGAAACGATCTCTCCGAGACGAGGCGAAGATCTCGCTTTCTTAAATCGAGAATCTTGGGAGGTTGATTCTAGCATATAGGTCAGGTATCACATTTTTTTAATGTAATGAAATACGTGCGTGTGTTATAGCGAAAACCGACTCTGAGTGGCCAAGTAATGGCATCTTCGGCTTTGAAGTTTACGCGATGACTCAGTAAGATACGGCACCGTAAACGCTGACGATAGCAAGCTTACGGTTCTTGGAGCTCATCGATGCCCCATTCTGCAAAGTTCCTTTTACTAGTGCTTAACAATAATCATGCGCTTGCATTGCCTCATTCTAACCATTGGGCTCGCCATCGCTGTAACGAGCAATGGCATTGGAGCAACCACGAACGACATCACTGAGGCCACCACGGTGAAGTCGAACTTGATCCATGAAGCGTTGTCCAGTCTCCACGTGCCCACTCGTGAGCTGTCCGATGATGACACAGCTTTAGAGGAAAGAAGGGGGTTTGGAGCAACAGGACACGGGCATGCAATCGGAGGTGGAGGACACGTAGTCTCAGGTGGAGAAGGGGGCTATGCAGTAGGAACAGGAGGAGGAGACACCGCCACAGGAGGGGGACACATGTACGGAGACACGGCAACTGGAGGGGGGCACATGTACATGTACGGAGCGTATACTAGTGGAGCTCGCACTAACAATGGATCAATGAACTCGGACAAGGTAGAGAAAAAATGCAATAAATTCGTGAACTGGTGGAAGCGACTTTTTAACAAAAACGTCGAGAAGTGTCAAGAAACTGATGACGAAGATGAAGACATTCGCCGCCTCCGAGCTTAGTCTGAAGCAATGTTGCGTGCTTCGTCTATACCTATTCTAAGCAAGGTTTCGCCTAGCTTTGGTGGCTATTCTGAAGCTGTTGAATGATGACCAATTGGCGAAGACGTGCAGAATCATAACAAAATGTGTTTTGTTTAGGAGCGGTGTCGTCGAGCTGCCTCCTCGATTTTAGTTTGACAAGGAGTTAACGAGTGTAAACGCATCCCAGAATTTCATTAACCACGTGAATTTACTTCCTAGAACAATTCGGCGTTAACATTTTCACGAGCCTTTTACCTAAATATATTGCTTCTTCAATTGTACAGTTCTGTCGGAATTTTTTTTAACTCGCAGTAAAAAAAATCTACTACAGTAGTACCATTATTGTTTGGAAATGGTGGAGGAAGACGATAATTTGTGTCTCGATTTTTTTTTGCCATTCTACTTTAATTTACGGCAAAGAGGGCACCACAGATTCGAGATATGCCCTCTTCTCTACAACGACTATTCCTCTCGTGAAAGCTGCGACCCCACAGATAGAAAATGTGTCCATGTTTCTTCGAGTGATGACCAGCAGAAGCTAGAGTAGTAGAGCACACGTTGTAAATCTGAGCAACAGCGCAGCTCGTACACAAAAAATCTTTTGCAGCCTTTGTCCTCATCAAGCACTGGTACTTGTACTGCACTCGAGTATGATGAACTGGCAACAAAAAGCCGCGTTATCGCATACCCGCAAACTTCCAGTGACACGTGTGAGGCTCGTAGGTTGCTGGGTTGAAGGACCTGTAAGAGAGCGGACATCCAACATCCTTTTAGCCCTGAGTTTGAACAACTCGAGACCTCTTGTTTTTGCTTTGCACTGATCTACGGTATCATGCCGATATACGATGTGGGCGGATACGGCCATAAATCAAAATGTCCTTCTGCTTTTTATTAACTTAGTTATTACTTGAAGTAGTTGATTGTTTGTTTCTATTGAAAAATGACAATGGATCTACTCCCAAAAAATGCATTGGACTTATTGAAGGTAGCAGTATTCACGTGGTCAACAAAGGAGCAAGTATGGACACTAAATCAGAGACTTTTTTTTGGACAAAAATACATTTTTTTTTACTGTATTGGAGGACCCCCTGTTAGCTGACGCTAGTGTATTCAACAACGCTCTTAATGGAACTAGGGAAGAGAACTTCTGATGAATACTCACTAACTGCAAAGCTGTTCATGGTCGATGAAGAAACTCAAAGAGTCACTGGGATCATTGAGGGCATGGTTCCGGATACGACACAATTGTTAGCGTTGCTTCAGTCGAAGCCAGCAGTACGAGCACAAAGAAGCTTCAGACAAATCAATAAAATGACCGGTACAAAAGTATTTTGAGGACGGCATGGATGAAACGCTGAGGTTGGACGATTTCAAGGCCACGACTTTAACAAAACGTTAAGATTGCACAAAGGACGTGTTTACTACGGTGTAGTAAGTCCAACAATCATAGCAATTTGAACATTGATGGGAGAGAGTTGTAACGTAATAATACGTATGAGGAAATCTGGGTAATAAAGTGTGTCACTTAATACGAGGAAACTTGGTAGTTCTCGGCAAAATGAAAGTGACTATTGTTAACTAGCGTCTGGGAAACTCTTGCAACCAGTCCTCCAGAGTGTATCAGGCTTAGAAACCGTTCTGTACACCATCTCGTAAACTTACATCCATCAGTACCCATATAGTGGCAGCGTACTCTAATCCGTCTGTAAGCGTGCCGTAAACGTAGGCGTCTGTAAGCGTACCATAACCTTAGGCGAGATTGATTTTTTGATATATGTTCATTTGAATTATTTGGGCAAGCGCTGATCGGAGGGCATATTGCATTTAACGGAGTAAAGTCCAGAATTGAGGACCTACTCTTCGTCATATGGTAATAAGTCAGGCATCGTTGAAATGATAGTGGCAGTTAGTTTCTACAGACGCCCCTCGGTAGTAATCCCTAGACTTGGAATACTCCCTCAACAGCAATAAATTAGCGGTTATGACCAGTTGCCTACAAATCTAAGATACTATTCCTCTCACCCCTCAGTTGTAAAATGGAATACATTGAAGGCAAATATCCTTATTCTGGGGATCTTAACTATGGGAACAGTCATAACCGCGCAAGGGAATTATTGCTGCCACGTCCGATCCGAATGTTGAACCAATGAAGCCTATTCTTTTGACCACTTTGGACGTGACTCGAGCTTTAGTGTCACTGAGAAGCGTTATGCCTTCAGGCGAATTGCCTCATCCGTTACGGTGACACCCCTCTCCTTACACCCAACTGGCAAGGAACTTGCCGAGAGTAGGATGGTACACCTATTGTAGCAATCTCGTGACCAGCTGCGAGACCAGAGGTGACTCCAGCGCTTTTCAGCACATTAACAGCTACTAGATCATTGCTTGTGGAAACTAGAGAAAGATTGTAGATTCTGTGAGCCCTTGAAGCTAGCTCTGTTTGGGACAGATTGGGTTGTGAGCGTAGTACTAGCATATTTGTACAGCAGTCGTTGAGTGTTAGTTTGAGGCGGACTGGATATAGAGTAGAATATCTTGGTATGGTGAGGCCGAACTGGCGATAGGAGAGCATAACAGGGTGAAACGCTAGTAACGAGCTACATCAATCGTCTCTTTTAGTACATTTTGTGCACTGCTCCACTCGGATCCATTTTTGTGGTACATTCATGGATAGGAATACCCTTAGACAGGGGCTCCAAGTGCAATGACTGCCGAGGGTACGGTTTCAACGAAATTCACATCGAAACTAGGGGTGATCGCCTGTGTCGGCACAAACCGTGACTCGAGCTTCGCAATCAAAGATTTTCATGTTGGATTCCCTTCTTTGTATAAATAGTGGGTCCCAGTGGGACTCCCATCTAGGAAGAATCATTACGTAACTTCTTCCACACTAGGGTTTCTATCAAACGTATTGTCCAAGACCAAGAGGGATTGAGACGAAATACTTCAAAGTAATCTTTAACGTACTTTAATCAGCAGCTTTTTAATATCTATCGTTATCACGTTACTTTGCGATTATCCGTGATTTGAAATAGGCAGCTCTGAATAGTTGCAGGCACGCGTTGCTGCCCCAGACTGGGAATAATCTGAGGTCCTTAACATGGGCTTATACAGGGTCTTGTTATGTGAGGGCTGTTGATGCACATACTGTAGCACCAACTTAGCGACAGCTCAAAAACACAACAATGCTGCTCCTTTCTCCGCAATGATACTGTTGTGAAGTTTGGATGACTGGGTAACGTCTTCGTGAATGTCCTTAATTATACCACAACACTCGCCTAGCTTGCTACAGCCTCGATTTGGCTCTTTTGTGAGCCTACCCCGGAGCAGCAACTTTTTTTTTTTTTTTACGTTCGCAGTTCGTTTCGAACTATCCATATGCACGAACTCTGTACGCGAAAGTACAGTATCTGTACTGTAGTACCAGTTCAGGTCACCACACTTACACAACACCGTCGTACCGATTTGAAGTAAAGAAGAGTAAAATATCAATGGGATCACAAAATCGCAGTCTTGCCATTTCATATTCTTCCTCTGTCGCCAAGAATCACGACCTAGTGCTGCTAGCACAGTCCCAGTCATGAATCCCTACTCCGTTTTTTGTGCTGGACTTGTAACTCTTGCTGTAGTACAAGCTCAAGACGGGTCTCACGGTCATGTCAAAGTCGGCTCCCCTGCATTGCAAGCTCAAGCTGAAACACCAGAGCCGACCATCAAGTACATTGACTTCAGCAAGTTGACTCAAGCCCCTTCAGCTACTGTCCCCCGAAACGTGACGAAAGGTACGCAGAGGCCGGACCCCCGCCAAGAACCACCGACACCAGAACCTACGCCCGCCCCAACGCCCGCCCCAACGCCCGCCCCAACGCCTGCCCCGACGCCTGCTCCGACGCCAGACCCCGGTCCGTGGGTGACGAAAACCATCGGCCACGATGAAGTGAAGCCGTTCCCTCAGCCCGAACCGGTCACGATTTCTGAGAAGGCCGGTGTCAAGTTCAAACCTCAGATTCAAATCCGCACGGGATGCGTGCCTTACCCTGCCGTGAACGAGCTTGGTGAGACCAGTGGCGGTCTTCAAACTTCTGGTAGTCCACGAGGCGGGTGCCGAGGCTCCGGCCACGGTTCCCAGGTGTACGGTCGTTCAACGTGGATTGAGGGTGTGTGGGCCATCATGTACTCGTGGTATTTCCCGAAGGATTCTCCATCGTCTCGCATGGGTCACCGTCACGACTGGGAACACGCCATTGTGTTCATCGACAACCCTGAAGTCGCAGAACCTAAGATCCTTGCCTGCTCGGTGTCGTCCCATGATGGCTACAAGAAGTACAGCCCGTGTCCGCCATGGGTGATTGACGGCACCAGCCTCAAGGTTCGATACAAACACGCCTGGCCACTGAACCATGATCTTGATACTACTGGCGACGCTGGTACATTCCAAGACCTCATCATGTGGGACCAGATGTCGAATGACGCTCGTAGAGCTCTCAATTCGGTCCACTTCGGCAAGGCTAACACGCCGTTTAATGATGGCAACTTCCGCCCGAAACTGGAAAAGGCCTGGCCTTTTAAAAAATAATTCACCGGTAGCAAGGTGAATACACTAAAGAGAAAACGTAGTCCGCTTCCTCTTATTGTTGTGCAGCTTTTATCGTAACTTGTCACCCGTAGACCAGACATCCTAAAAAAAAACATAGTGGTATATGCGGACGAATGAGCCTGCGGGAATACACATGCTCTTTGAATGCAAGTGGCTTTGTCTCCTCCACCACGATACATATTACTATTCATCATCGCTATGCATTCACCCCAGCAATGGTAAACTTTTATCGGTTAAAGGAACCAAATTGGTGCGGTCACCTGTCGACTGAAGACCGCAGAGGATCCCCGTCATTTTATATGCTGATGCTGCCCCAAAACGATAATGATCAATCCGTTCTTTATTTTCACGAGCTGTGTCTACATTTAATGATAATTCGTTCCACTCGAAACTCGAGAAGGCCTGGGTCTTTTAAAGCGACCCCACGTCGGCTTGTTTCTTGTTTCACAGCCCCACTGAAGTGCTAGTGCAGGCCACCCTACACTTTTACAGATTTCTAGCTTCATGCAAACCAGCTGATCTTTGTCAGACTCGTCATTTCTCCTCTCCGAAGAATCAATCATATCGCATGACTATACCGAGATTTAGAAATTAATTATTATTGGCTCCCTGTTTTACAGAAGAACGGGTTATTTTTCCCTGAAATTCCAGTACAATTTATATTTAATTGTTCGAGCCCTGATCTCGGCGTACAAATGGACGACACTCAGACTACATTGTAGTGACTACAATGTAGTCAATGTAGTCCAAGTGTTCACGAGAATGTGTGCCACGACAAGTGATCAACGATTTGCAAATTGCAGTAAAACCTTTCAAATCTATAATCAATACCGCAAGTCAGCAAAATGCTATTTGGCTTCTGTACTTGATAAATTAACGAGAATCGTTGTTTTAAAGCGACCATCGAGCCATGTTGCAAGCCAGTCTCCTATCAATCAATCGGTCATTTGGGGCATTTTGGCATTGAACCCTTGGCTCTTGCACTACTTTTTGACCACTAAACCACACGCCCCGGGTAATAGCGATGACCGCATTCACTTTGTGTAATCGACGAGGACTGGATTGTACTCCAGCATGTTGCTTCGTGCAAAGATGAGGACGCTCAACAGAGACCAGCGGTGCTTCCTCCTGAAGCTTTATCATTAACCACCAGGCTGTTCCACGTGATAGATCCACTAGCTTCGCCTGCGTCAAAGCGGTGGTATTTCTATCCAACGGCAGATCTCCACGGCGAGCCGATGAACAAGCCATTGCTTGTCTTCAAGCCCTCGAACTTCCAAACGCAACTGCAAAACCCACACGTAAGAGGCTTCACGTTATACTGGCACTGCGGGCATTAAATATCGTCCTCCTTCACGAGGTTAAACATCCTGAAAGGGTGCGGATTAATTTCACTATATCTACATATCATCAGAAAATTCGACTGCACGTACCTCGGCAGAGTTTTCGGTGTGTAGAAATCTTAGAACGAATCTTTTATTAATGCCTATTTATTAGGTACCTAAACGAAAAATCTATTAAGGCAATCTTCAGCGGACGTTTCTCGTACATATTGATGCCATATAAGCGTGACTATACCTTTGGAATCCAGTTGCGGTGAATTACCGTTGGTGCTTTGCCTTGTAGTAACAATAATCAAAGTCTAATGCAGAGGTATTGCTGGGGAAAAGGCCTAGTAAAAGATCAAAAGACGAAGTGCTCAAAGGCGACATCGGGACCATCTACACGTGTATCTCTAGGATCTACAGAACAAATGGCTACTGTAAGACTTCAATTTTAAAGATAAGTGGCTGGCCCCGTAATGAGCCACAGCTCTGGTGAGCCGACAAGCAGTTTTTCGGTATGGATTTTGAACCTGTGATTTGCATCGCTCGACCATTCGGATGACATTGTTAGCGCGTAGGTTGCTGAAGGGCCTGCAATTCACTTGCTAAATTGTTGGTCGCATTTTCGTAAGAAATGCAAACGATACCGGATGGCACCTTCTACATCAAGAACTGTCGTGGACCAACTTGGTACTGCCACGTCTTCAGTGGCTCCGCCGTGCTTAATCCTCTGAGCAACTCAAAGCGATGGTCAAAATCTTGAAAAACCATCTTGAACAAGAGAACGAGCAAGATTATGCTATGTGGCTAAAGGATGAATAGCTCACTGATCGCTGGGACTCGTTGCTTGTAACTTGCAGTGGATCTCCGGGAATATTGACTCATCAAAATCCAATCAAGGCACATATAAGATAATCAAGGTTTCGAGCGCACTATAGCTCCGAGCCACCACGGCATATGTACTACACCAATCCTTACCCAAGGCGAGTCTATCATTAATAGCGCAAGGGGACGCTATCCAATTTTACTGTTGTGGACCTGTACAGCCCGCGGTGGTCGTCGTAACCCGACTCCTGTGCGATAAAAAGACTTTTAGCTATAGCAGTATGTGAAATCTTTGCAGGGGAGACTCCTAAACAATGCATCGGTGACGAACTTCTCTTTAGACTACCTATATCTTCACCGCGTACTGGTAAAGTCTACCGATTTGTTCGAACACAGTAGGGATTCTCCGAATCTGCGATAATTGCTTTATTATTCGTTACTAGTAAGATCTTTACTTTTTTTTCTATTTAATTATGCATGCAGATAGCGATTTTACGCAACAAGTAAATTTGTGACTGTAAAGCACTATATAAGTCCGGATGAGTGTGCTGCCACATCTTTGCTACGCTTGCCCTGCGTGATGGTCCGGATCTCACCAGGCTCCCTAAGCGACTTCTACCGAGGATGCCTCCGGGCAGGCCGCACAAAGTGAGCCGACTCTAGATCGAGATGATGAACCAGTTTTCACCATGAGACGTTTGATAAAGAAGCTCACCGGCCGATCTGGGTCTGCTAACAATTGGAAGTGCTCAAACGAGTTCCCTGAAATTGTCTCCGGAGAGCCTCAGCACTCCAGTTATGCTGGAACGAATATCTCATGGGCGAACAGAGATGGAGTGTTTACTAGAACGTTTTATTTGACACTGCTCTGAGGAACACCGTGGAGTCGAAGACATAGCGAAAGCAACCAAGACTGCATACGCTACCGCTGTTCCTGTAGCAGGACCCTAAAGCAGTGGAGACAGAGTCGAGAAAGGCATTTATTAAAACATCAGAATACACTTTGTTTTTGCCAAACGATACTCACATCTCCTGTGGATGTGAATACATCAGTATGTAGCATACAAACTTATCTCAAACCTATTTAGTTGAGATGTATACACGAATAAAATAATCGTGCTTTCATCCTAAAACCTGTGGATGAATAACCATTTGACGAAATGTGGTACACTGACAGTTTGTACACCGGCCTTGAGCATTAAGGCCCAAAAGGCACACACGCCACTCTGGAGTGCTAGACGAGAACTCTTGCCCAATCCGTATTTAACCATCCGAAACATCGGCAAAACAACTAGCGATGTACTCCTCCTCTCAGTTACAACACATGGTCAAGTTTTCGTGGTGGATGTTGTAATCTTGGAGGGTGCGCTAATCTCCAGGCTGCA